CCATTTAAAATTATTTCGAAACATACAGAGTGTCCCAAAAAACCATAAAACACTGAAGTTAAACTTTTTTCATACTTGGGGTCTAGCAGTTATAATTACTGAGAAATCGAGATTTTCCAAGTTCAAGAATTTTTTGTGTCGAAACTATTCATAATTGGTCAAAACGGCTCACATGTCCCTATCTCAACTTTTGATCAACTATCTACTGACATTTAATTGAAACAAATACAGGGTGGTGCAGAATTCAGAATCTTGATCACCCGGTATATGTCCCAATTAAATATCAGTAGATAGTTAATCAAAAGTTGAGATAGGGACAAGTAAGCCGTTTTGACTAATTATGAATAGTTTCGACACAAAAAATTCTTGAACTTGGAAAATCTCGATTTTTCACACCCTATATTTCAGTAATTATAACTGTTAGACCCCAAGTATGATGGATTGTTGAAATCAGCTCACAAGGGAGAATCTCAAAATGAAATAATATATAGGGTGTTCGATAGAAAAAAGTTTAACTTCAGTGTTTTATGGTTTTTGGGGACACCCTGTATGTTTCGAAATAATTTTAAATGGTAGCCTATGTTGACATGCAACTTCCTAGAGAGGAAGAATTCCAAGAAGATAAGTGGTTAGCCTTCTAGAGACCGAGGCGTTACTGGTGGCCCACCCTGTATTTTCAACTGTTTCATCTGAAATGAATGGGAAAATCGACTAATGGTATTCTTCGTGAACACAAGTGAAACACTTGTCGTAAACACAATTCTTGAATAACTGGGCAAATTAAAAAGTTCCGAACGATATCTCGAGAAGACTTCAATGAGCTGTTAAAATAATCATCATTCAAATCGGCAATAGTTATTTTTGTATCTAGAGCGCGAAATGCTACTTTGGTGATCGAGATCTGATTTTTTTAACGAGGCGTAGCCGAGTTAAAAAAATAGTCGAGATGACCAAAGGATTTCGCGCTCGAGTTGCAAACAAAATTTTTTCTACAAACGTCAAAAAATATAGTTATAAAGTAAAAATATGCTTAGCTAGATATAAAAAATTGTGTTGAACTGGCTTCAAAGACCTCCCCCTATCCTCCCTAGGTACGCACGATGTTCCACGAACATACTACGAATTTCCTTTCGTGCGCTCAAAAGATAGAACGAAGTTATTGTTGAACATTCGGAAATAAATGATTGCATGGATGTTTGCTCGATTGAGGACCATATAGTTGAAATATAAATATCTCATTAATTTTACATTACAATGCGCGAAGTGGGTACTTCGCGCACTGTTTTACTTCGCGCATTGTTATGTGCAAGGTATCATGGTAACGTAGGAAACTGAAAAAAAGTGTCACTTCGCAGTTTGTCATCAATGCGCGAACCATGTCATTTTTTGACGTTTGTAGAAAAAAGATTTTTTTTCAATGTGTACCGGAACTTTTTTGCAAAATCTGTAAATGGTATACATACCTACTAATTTTTTATTTAAATAGGAAGAAACCTGTATAGGCTTCTGTCACTTGAATTCAGGAACACCCAGTAGTGTTAATGATACTTATCCGAGTACTTATCACTAATCCCTACATGTTTTTTCATTGCCCAAGTTTCGTCCTTGGGTTTGAATTCAACCTATACCTATCGATTGACTTTTTTTGCATTTCACGAATGGAACTCATTCGTAATCTACCTATTTTTACGCAAAATTTTGAAAACTCCTTGGGATGTATGATAAATCTTTAGGAAATCCCGGAATTCCTTGGGAAGTCCGGGTAGCCTCTGGGAATTCCTCAGGTAGTCCCAGGAATTCCAGGTAGTCTCTGGGAATTCCTAGGAATTCCTTGCGAAGTCCCAGGAATTCCGGGTAGTCTTTAGGTAGTCCCAGGAATTCCGGGTAGTCTTTGGGAATTCCTAGGAATTCCTTGGGAAGTCCCAGGAATTCCGGGTAGTCTTTAGGTAGTCCCAGGAATTCCGGGTAGTCTTTGGGAATTCCTAGGAATTCCTTGGGTAGTCCCAGGAATTCCGGGAATTCTTTCAATAAAGGAAGTCTAGTGTACCCAATTTCAGCCCGTGATTTACCCCTCGATTGGTATACTATTTCATGAACGAGGAGGCATGAAGTCGCACAGTCGCACTTTACTTAATTTGTGACGAGATCTGAGTTACCATGGTAATTTTGATTGCATCAATGACAAGATATATGATGTATTTCCTCGTGTATTTCGATCGTTCTTAAGAGGTGAAGAATCAAGTATACCGGTCGTACATAAACTGCTGTATGTATTTGGGGAGTAATAAGCTATTTTGGCGTGTTACGAGGCGTGTTACTCTACACGCTACGGTCCATAGCCTATTTTACGCCTTAGATAACTAAATTAATAACAACTACTTGTCGCCGATCGTATATATACAAGGTGGTCCGGTTTGTCATACAAAAAATTCAACACTGGTGTTGTTCTCGTTGAAATAATGAAAAAAGTTTATAATATAAACATATACTTTTGAACGCGTCGTTTTCGAGATAAAGGGTGTTGAAAATACTGTCTGAATATTGTTTTTGGATGCAAAGTTCGAAGAGGTTTGAGACGGTTTGAGGTAAGTCAACAAAATTTCGCACATTAACTAAACTTTTCACGCTCTATGAGATGAAATGAAGAATATTTCATGAAGTAATTCATCGGCAGCTGATTCTAGGGTTAGTGAAGTTTCATTGTGATGGTCCGGTTATCATTTTTTATTACCTTAAATTTCTCATATAGTTTATCCGGTTCAATTTGAAAACATTGTAATGCATTGAAAAAATACAACAGAACTGTTATACGCAGAAAACCTCGCAGAAAACTATATGTTTTCACATTTTGTACCCGAATATGAGTAATTGAACGCACATTCATAGAAATTGGGGTGATTTTTGCCTTCACCACTCTCAGATTTAGCCGCCACTGAATTACTTTATGAAATAATTTTCGTTTCATCTCACAGAGCGTAATAAGTTTAGTACCTATCTGTGAGAAATTATGTTGATTTATCTCAAACCGTTTCGAACTTTCATTCAGAAACATGATTCAAACTCGCATTTTCAACACCCTATATATATATATATCTCGAAAACGACACGTCCAAAAGTAAATGTTTATTGACAGATTACAACATCCTGTTGATATTTTTGTATTACAAACCGGACCACCCTGTATATCAATCAATGTAAGTACCTATGTCAAAATTCAATATTCCAGTTCGAAAACCCTGTATTATACCCGAATTATACCTATCTGAAATAAAATAATTGTGGAGCGAGTTGTAGAGTGACGACGGATAAAATAATTTGAATCACCTTTTAAATCAGAAAAATTCATCTATATTGTGATTCTTTGACCTATCGATAATTTTCTGAATAATCGTGAAGACGACTGTAGTCGATTGTGTTGTCTGTGATGGTATATCGTAAAACGTTAAACAGTATAGGAAGAAACTTGCTATCATAAAATAAACATTTTATGTTCAAATATACCATGGGAATCCATCACGTTTGTCAATAAAATAGAAGATAAAGGTTTCGGAGGAATTACCCTGTTTTCTTGACTTAGTGTAGTTATCTTTCCCAATGTTCCAATGTTTCACAGGTGAAAAATCTCCTTCGAGTACGTTTGCCTTCACAAAATCATCAGAAATATTCTCGAAAAATGTCTATAACAATGATATGAATAATGAATAATGTATAGGTAACTGCTCGGGTAACTGGAATTAGGACAACACTAGTTACAACATTACTCTCGACATTATTTATAGGGGGATTTTTAGATTGTTATCGCACAAACAATAATTTTCATTTGAAAAATATATCTTGCTCTTATAATACGATAGCTGCGGATAGCTGCTTCAACATACCAATTTGTTTCAAGTGACAAAATTTCGCAAAATTTTCATTCAAATTGATAGTGAAAATGTCACAATATCCGAGACAATAACATCCAGAATTTTCGTTTCAACATAATATGCGCCGGTTCATTCAATGGCAAATTATTATTCGATTAACAGATCAGGTTGTATAGATTTGACCTCGGATTTGACGAACAATTTTAATTTACTCTCAGTGATTTTCATTGCATTTCTCAAAAATTCGATCTCAGAACAGAGTGAAGCTTTTCCATTTTTTTCCTCGAAAGAATCCATGGTGAGAGTAATCCCGAGAGTTATCCAGAATATACGAGGGCGTATACGACTCGGTATACGAGTACAAGAAAAAAATCATGAAGTGAATTATCAATTTGTGGACGCCATTTGTGTAAGTCGAGGTGTAAGTAGTTTTTTTAGTGACTTTTTTTTTATCGCTTGGAGCGCACGAAAGGGAATCCCTATAATGTTCAAAGAACATCGTGCGTTCCTAGGAAGGATAGGGACAGGAGGTAGGTATTGGAATTTTTTTTTGAACTTTTGGAGATTATATGTTGTTGGGAATACTTCCACAGGCAATGAATTCCAGAGCCTAGCCGTTCTATGGATGAAGGAGTCTTGATAAAGTGCTGTTCGACATCTTTCGAGGTTGACAACGAAAGGATGTGCTGACTGGGCTTGTCTAGTTCGTCTGATTGGTATTGCTAATGATTCCTCACTGATTGTTAAGGTATTCATTTGAGAATAATAATAACTGTGGTATAAGAATTGGCAAGATATGGATATCAAGATATCGTGAAAAACCGTGAAAAACCTCTATCGCGATGATGCACATCAACGCCCTGTTGCTTTTCAACGCACTCTACTAAGTTTTATATAAACTATTATTCTCTCTATTTTTTCCATATCTCAACATTTGATATTTTGCGAGATATTTTGGAATGAAATTGAATCACCCTGTATTTTCCAATTCATTCTCGAGGTCGATGAACAGAAAAACCAGGTACGATGTTTGATTTACATGGAATCGCATGGATTATTTCTCGGAATATTCTCGATGATTTCAAAAAAAATTTATATACAGTTCAGAACATAACAAAAATTTAAATTACTCACCTGGTTCATTGTCAAATTTTCCTGAGCCCTGGACAGCTACAACGACACTGAGAATTACCACATGTAACTGCATCATCACAAAGTTAAATCTACTACACATATTTTACAATAAGAATAATTCTATTAGTCACCCAACAGCAACAACCACCAGTAACACTAGACGAACATGTTTTTAAAGAGTTCTTCTCTTGAGATTTCCTTCTAACGAGCGGGAAAGCTTTGAAGCTGCGAGAGCGCGAAATTCGGAAGTTCGCGGCACGTAACTTCGACGGTAAACAAGGTTGCCCTCCTCAGTGCTAACAACACAACGGACGAAATGCCACTGCTGGCGCTAAGATGTAAGGCGTGCGCCCGGCCAATAGCTCTGCAGATCCGATACGCACCGAACGCCTACGAAGCTTTCGGTGTTTTTGTTTTCCGCAGCGCACTGCCAGAGAAGAGAGCTTTCGGATGCTGGAGTTGCACGAGCCCACAGCTTTCAGGTGTGGGACTAAAGGTGGATTTATACAGCATTATTTAACAATAATTATCAATGAACGAATTGGGGATATTACCGTCCAACTGAAAAATTGCAAGACTACAACCAGTTCCTAAAAAAAGCAAAAAGACCTTACCTAGCAACTACAGACCGATCGCACTTATTTCAAAGATCATGGAGAAAGCTATCAACATCGAGCTCATGAGATACCTGGAACATTCAGGTATTATCAACGATGAGCAATATGGCTTCCGTCATCTGAGATCAACTGGTGACCTGCTCGCTTACGTCTCACATATATGGCAGCAATCTATTGAAAAATATGATGAAACCTTGGCAGTGGCACTTGATATCCCCAAGGCATTCGATCGAGTCGGGCACCACGAACTCCTCGCCAAGCTTCCATCTAATGGCTTGCTAGTTTTCTCTCAAACAGGTCTCGCCATGTAGTGGTCGACGGAGTTTCATCTGACTCTCTTATCATGAATGCTGGTGTACCGCAAGGACCAATTCCAGAACCAACACTATTTCTACCCCATATCAACGATTTGTTGAAGCAACTTCATGTTCAGTACACAGCTTCGCGGATGATAGTAACCTCCATATGCCTTCTCTTCCAGGGCTCCAATACTAGCCAGGCAAATCAGAAACGAACAAGGAAGAAATGTTGTCAACATAAATATTGATTTGGCAACAATTCGCGAATGGGGATCCAATAACTTGGTAGATTTCAATGCAGACAAAAAACAAGCATGGTGCTTTTTCTCTAGAAAAGCCGATCTCACTGTGCCCAACATGAGCTCGTCAGGAGTAACCATACCTTCGAAGACATCCATTTCGATGCTTGGTATTACTATCAGCAATAACCTTTCTTGAGAAAATCACGTGAGATCAATTGCTAAAGGTACATCCCAAAAACTTGGTTTTCTGTTTCGAGCCAGGAACTATTGCACTTTCAGTCAGCTGCTTCCATATTTTTTGCAGCACCCAAACATACCCTGAAACTGTTGGATTCTGTCCAAAAAAGGGCAATGGGTCTCGTGGGTGATGCCTCGCTCACAAACTCTCTCATACTTCTCTGGAACACCATAAAAAAGTTGGCGATCTGGCTCTATTTTATAGATATTTTCATGGACGATGCTCTTCTGAAATATCAACAATTGTTCCTCCCTTGGCAGTCCCCGCAAGATTAATCCGTCGAGTTGAGGCTTCGCACCTCTTGGTGGTCACTTTAAAGACCTGCAGAACATCTCTTTTTAAAGACTTGTTCATCCAACGAACAGCGAGGCTCTGGAACACATTGCCAGGAGAGGTGTTCCCCGAGGCATATAACCTCCAGAAATCCAAGAACACCAATTCCAACCTCATTTTCCTTGGTTCTCACGATGTTCTCTGAACATTGAAGGATATCCCTTTTCATGGGAACCAGAACATAAGAAATAACAAAGTTGCAATCGAACGTTGAATTTCCTGTCTTCAATGAAGGTCTTTATTCAGACATTTAACAATTATCAATTAACAAGTAACAAGTAAGAAGTTAGCCAACTTTCAACTTCCTTACTTTGATTGAACCAGGTTCTCTTCAATGCATATGATCGTGGTTTGGTTTCATCGACTGGTATAGAGAAGGCATGGATTGGTCAGACCAATTTCAGACCTGATATCTGGCAGATGTTATGAAATTCGTTTAAACATAAAACGATTGCGATCAACAGAATAATTGTGAATAAAAGTAACCCAGTCTCTTCCAGGTCAGAAAACATTTGAAAATTCGAAATTTCAGCTCCTTATGCATAGATAAACTACACTATAGTTTTTTTATGTCCTCATGTAAATTGTAAACGACGAATTTGTGAGATTATTGTTAGGGCATGTGCGCTTGCGTACTATCAATCCATTAATTGTTAATTTGGTTTGCATAAATGTCAATATTCTCATCACTTGTTAATTGGAAATTATTAATTGATAAATGTTACTTGAAAATTGTTAAATTTTGGTGCATAAATCCACCTTCAGATACGAACATTGATGTGCCATCTAATTTTCAGCATGAGCCACGTTTATACCACGTCTTGGTGAGCCTACTAATGACTATATTTTGACTAAATACTCTTGGTCAGTGTGTTATGAACTGTATGCTTGGTAAATTTACCAGCTTGGTTTGGTTCCGAAATTTGTTGCATACCAGACTAAAATAGTATGCTTTTGGGTGTATGATAAATTGACATTCATTATACAGGGCGTGGAAAAAAATTCTGAATTGAGTCATACAGGGCGTGGAAAGAAATTCTGAATTGACACTCTATCACGAATTTGCGATTAGAGGTCTATAAAAATCAAATAGTATGGTGACCAAGACGGTGTGAAGATTTTGGTCTACTTTTGTATATAGCCATGACTTGACTTGAGTGCAAGTGGCAGTTATTTCATGACTTCTCATAATAATATTTCAGTCGATTTCAGCTAATTTAATATCCTACTGAAGGATTTTATTCTTAATTTATGAATTCAAGTGGCGAATTTCACATTCTAACTTCAAAAATATAATCAAATTGAAACAAAGTTAGTAACGTTATAGTCAACCTAGTGTGAATTCAGCTAGATCTCGCGAGTAAAACAATTGCTCGCAGTCTGAGCTCACAGAGTTATCAGTTCGCCCGAGTTGTCATCAATTCCAATACCTACCTCCTATCCCTATCCTCCCTAGGAACGCACGATGTTCTTTGAACATTATAGGGATTCCCTTTCGTGCGCTCCAAGCGATAAAAAAAATCGTTTTTGTGCAAGTATAGACTCGCAATGACGTTATGCGCAGAAAAGACGAATTCAAGATATCTGATTAGCACAACATATTATATTTTCACCATAGTTTTCAGTATCGTCATCCCAGTCAAAAATGGTTGAAACAATCTTGTTATGATCGAATTTCAGAATAATCAACATAAGTTCATGAAGTACGAGAAAATATACGCCTCGCTATATCATGCCAAACACGAATAAATGAATAACATAGCAAATGATGAGGATATATTTGTATGAAATCATTGGCAGAGAATTAATATATGGATAGATATACAGGGTGATCCACGGTGGATGGCCAATTAGAAGTATCTGGAGAACGAAAAGACAGAACATTCTGAAAATTGCGATTTTTCGATAATTGAACATTCTCTACTCATCTAAAATATTTTCATTGATACAGTGTTGCCACTTCTATCAGAAACAACTAGCAACTTTGTTATTTCAAATGGAACACCCAGTATTTTATTGCATTTGTAGATCCTATATAAAGAGCTGATTTCATCAATGCATCACACTTGGGGTCTAGCAGGAATGATTAGAGGGATATAGGGTGTTCAAAATCGAGATTTTTATCAATTTCAAGATTTTTTTGTGTCGAAACTATTCATTATCGATCAAAACGGCTTACATATCCCCATCTCAACTTTTGATAGACTATCTACTGGAATTTGATTGGAAAAAATACAGGGTGCTTCAAGATTCAGAATTCTAATCACCCTGTATCTGTTCCAATTAAATGTCAGTAGATAGTGAATCGAAAGTTGAGATAGGGACATGTAAGCCGTTTTGATCAATAATGAATAGTTTCGACACAAAAAAATCCTGAAATTGAAAAATCTCGATTTTGAACACCCTATATCTCTGTAATCATTCCTGCTAGACCCAAAGTGTGATGCATTGATGGAATCAGCTTTCCAAGGAGAATCTAAAAATTCAATAAAATACAGGGTGCTCTATTCAAAATAACGAAATTGCTAGTTGTTTCTGATAGAAGTGGCAACACTGTATCGATGAAAATATTTTAGACGGATAGAGATTGTTTAATTATCAGAGTATCTCAATTTTCAGAATGTTCTGTCTTTTCGTTCTCCAGATACTTCTAATAGGCCATCCACCGTGGATCAGCCTGTATTCAATATAGCTATTGAATCGTGATTTTAATGAAACAATGTGTATATATATACTATATTGTTTGAGCTCTCACGGGTTGTAACAAAATAGTACGTTTTTGTGAAATGTCTTAGTGGAGTTATAGCTCTGCAACTCCAATACCACGATGCTTCCGATGTTTTTGTTTTTCGCAGCGCACTACCAGAGAGCTTTCGGATGTTCGAGTTGCACTCTCCCACAGCTTTCAGGTGTGCCATCAATTTTCAGTATTGTCACCCTAGTCAAAAATTGTTGAAACAATCATATTATGATGAAATCATACAATAGGTAACAATAATTCAGGAAGTACGAAAAAAAAATACGATTCGCTAAACGCCAAACACGAATGAATGAATAACATAATATATAGCGAATGATGGATGTATTGAATATATCTATTCAATATATCTAATGAATCAGAATGTCTATGAATGTGAGTATGTGCGATATTGAATGAGAATTGACATATTTAATAGATATATTCAATATATCTATCGAATTGGAATTTCTATGAGAAAATGTATGTATGTGCAATATTGTATATTGTATATAAGCTCTCACGTGTTGTAACAAAATAGTACGTATTTGTGAAACGTCTTGGTGAGATTATTGCTCTGCAATTCCGATACGCAACGATTGCCTACAATGCTTTCGGAGTTTTTCTGTTTTCTGCATCGCACTGCCAGAGAACTTTCGGATGCTAGAGCTGCTCCCACAGCTTTCAGGTGTGGGACTAAGGTGCGAACATTGATGTGCCATCAAGTTTTGAGTATTGTCATCCCTGCAAGTAATTGTTGAAACGAATTATCATCATGATCGCATTTCAGAAGAAGTAACATTAATTTGGATATATTTGTGAAATCATCGCCAC